CCTGTGCAGTTTGCCTTGAAGTTTTTATTAAACAGACAGAGAACKTATTTTTTTCTAAGGTAATTACAGATGAGATTCAAATGAAATATCAAAATAAATACTTTACCGGGTAGAAAAAATATTTTAATAGAGAATTCAAAATAAACTATTTGTACCTTCCTACTGCAAGGAAGTACATCAAAAAACAGTATGTCATCTGAAGCTGTAAAACTTGCTTAAAAATCAATGAAGAAAGTAACTTAYTAGAGAACAACAACACTTCCTTCAAAGTAAAGTGGTGATTAAAATGGAATATACTTTTTTACTAATTTCCTTTCACTCTTTTTACAGCAGAGGAGTAATGAGTAGATGAATTGTTTCTTTCAGAAGAGCTCATACATATAAGCATGATTTGAGAGAGTTCACACACAACAGAYTGTGATAAGAATTTGTGTATTTTATTATCACTTACTTCCACCCAACTGCACACAAAGAAATCATTCAAATTATGAGGAAAGCATATTGGAATGWTGATTTTAYCAGGTTGTTYGGGTTTTTTTATAAATTACCCTTTGTAAAGCTAAAATACTGATTTTTAAAGGGGATATTTGTGAAACACGTATAAAACTTTATTATTTTTATAGAATATACAATGCTTGAACATTTTTAAAGTACTCAATGTTTCTAAAATATTAAGGAGTTGATAAACAGTCATAAATTTAACACAGGTCCTCTCTAATTAAAAAAAGTGGTTCTCAAAACAAATCAACAATTCCCTAGTGCACTTATAAAGAGAAAATATCAAAAGCAAGAACTGCTATCTTTCCTTCCAGTGTTAATTAGTAATTAAAAATTTTAGCTTCATTACTACCCACTCTGAAATGGTTTTATTTCTTTCCCTTTCTTGGTGGGGAATGGGGTTGTTACACAGAYAAATCCTGCAACAAGAGTCATGAAAATTAACCAGTTTTGAATCTGCTTGCATTCATCACAGTTTAAAAAGGACATGAAACTTTATTATTTTCTTTTAAATACACATCTTCCTTGTAGACCACTGCTTTCAGGTCTCGAGTTGCATGTAATTGCATAATTCTACTGGCCAAGTAACACCCTTCTCTACGACAGTTCCGATATGTCTGATAATTTTTAAGTAGAAATAAAAATATTAGCATGATTTTTTTTTGGCATTGTACAGAAGCTGACAGCTCCTTCTGTTTGGATCAACAGCAAGTCCTAAAGAAGAATTTCTTGTATTTGGGGCAAGAGGGACAGGAMGGGCTTTGCCACCGTTCCAAAACCCAGCAGATTAAATGAATGTCCCTTTATGGATTTCAAGTGTCTTCCATCTGCAATGCACTCGATGTCTCCAAYGCTGATTCCGTGTCCACCCGTGCTATCACAGCTCGATATTTTCTGCATACAAGGTAATCATCAGGATGGCAGTAAAGCCCGTCAGTAAACCAGCATTCTGAATAAGGAAGAACGTAAGATCCGACTTTCTTCCCGTCACTTTCTCCCGCAGCATATCGTTCATCTCTGGGAACTAGAAAAGGGATATTTTTAAGTAAGTACTGCCATCTCGTGGTAGCGTGACTGATTTAAGGCTTTAAGAACTGAACCGTATTGCTGCTTTGGACTGAATATTAGAACAGAGGGTGAAGGCAGTCATAGGAAAAAGTCACCCTAATTATCCTGAAGAAACAYTCCACCAAGGATGGTGAGATGAAATGGTGTTTTGCTTCTCTCTAGTGTGACTTCATCTGGTTGTGTCTCATGCGAATTTCCCCTCTTTGATTCCAGCAGTCTCCTAGGCTCCAATTGCTTCTAGCATCAGATGCCTTTCTATTGCTAAATGTTGTGTTTCCTCCTCCACTAGTACRAACAGAGAAGTCTGGGAAATGGAAGATTAGAATTCTTCCACGTTATCTAAAGGCACATAAAGTGAAGATGGAAACAGGAACAACCCCTCAGAAATCAGAAACCTTTTACATCTAGAAGGTTCTAGTAGGCTGGTGAGGTCAAGCAAGGGAGAAGGAGAAGACTGGTGTGAAATTGGTGATAACACAAGGAATATCACATTAAAATGCAGTGAAGGGATCCTTCATTACATAGCACACACCTTAAAGGTTAGCACAAGAGCAAAGGATGGCTGATCCACTGCTAACTGCAGAAACAAAGAGATTTCCTGTGGGAGCCAGGGGAGGGGATGGCAGAAGAGCACAGGCATGAAATTCCCAGCATGGGATGATTCAGGGTATGTGTTTGCTGCAGACAAAGCCAGCTAGAGTGGCCTTTGASAAATAAACCTGGAAGTTTTCTCCTGCTCTGTTGAGAGCAGTATAACCGGAATACAACAAACAGTTTATTTCAGCCTTACTGGAAGCCTTCAGGCTGGGTAACTCAGAAACTGTATCTTTGTTTGATCTCACAACACAAAAACAGTCACTGAAGGTAATGCAATCCTTGAAGAACCGGCTAAGSTTAGCAGGAAGTGCCCAAACCTTCCCAGAAATCGTTCCACACTCTTGCACAAGGCAGTGACAGCAAACCAGACTGACTTCATGCCACACAGCAAGGCTCACTTGTGCACACACCTCAATGTGMATTCCCCCCTGCCCACGGCCCCCCACACCGTGATCCTACTGGCAGAGGTCAGGCTGTGCCAACAGTGSAAGAAAAAAGAGCAGCAAAAAGAAAAGGAGGAAGGCATCCCATTCCAGTTAATCCTACCTGCTTCTGGACAAGCAAACCAGAAGTGTGTGATAGCCACAAGAAAGTGGAAAGGCAGATCTCTGTACAGAGCACTTCAATACCCTATTTCAGACTTTTCAGGGGGCAGAAAAATTCAGATAGGTAACTGATACAATCCAAAAACCTATAAAAAGAAAGAGAGGAGGGGACAGGGAGAGAGACAGATAGAGAGGAACAGAGAGAACAGAACAGATACAAAGAAAAGCGTGTTACCTACTTTGATGGATTTAATAAYAAATTTGAGTCACTATAAATTTATGCCATGAATTTTACACATCATAGTTCAGTATATTACCATTCATTATATGACTGAAGCTAAATGAAAAGCATTAGCTATTAATATTTATGAAATAAACTACTTACAGTGTTTTAGTTCTAACAACTTATTAAATCCTACACTATTACATAAACTATAGCAGCATTTAATGAAATAATCACTATAACTATATCACAGCTTTTAAACGTGCATGGAACCAAACCAGGTTCTCAAATATTTTCAGATTCAGGCCTCGCTTTTCCAGTCATGCAYTCAAATTGATTCTCATGTGGCAGATGAAAGCATCTTTGCACCTGTTGCATCTGTTCTTACAACACTGAATTAAACATAATAAAACTTAAAACTCCTGAAAAATTTCTCTTGTTTTGAGACAAAACATAAGAGGAGATTACAGAATGTTGATAACTGCATGTGAATCCAGATTTTGTTTCCCAGTGTCTAAATACAAGCTGGATTTTAGCACAAATTCTTTTCCTTATATCTTGAAGCACACTTTGAAAAGCAAATGATAGAAAGACTATTTGGAATAGAGCTCAGCAAATTTTTTCATCTGAACCATGAAGCTGAGGCTGKCACTGTTTAATTTAAATCAGAATAGAATTTAAATCACATTTCATTATCACTGTGGTTACACAACACCTTTCATTCAACTCAAAGCTTAATACTTAACTTCATTCTGTTTACCTTTCTTTTTTTCCTCTTCTTTCACAATATACTTTAAATAGACAAATGAACCTTTTAAAAACAATAAGGTGAAATATTCTGACATTTTTAAATGATGAAACAAACTTATACACTTTTGATTCTTTGATYAAACCAGACCAAATTCATGAAAAGCTTGCTATCGGTCTAAAACTCCTTTCCAATAATAATAATATGATGAAGTAAAAGGCTTTAATATTCACAAATAACCATTATTATTTGTGCACCTCTATTAAGGGTATAATTGATATTATTATTATTATTATTACTATTAGTCACTGACATGAGAGGGAGAAAATACTAAATTCTACTGAAGAGACCTAGGGCACGTTTGGGTTTTTTTTTTGCAAAGAATTAAATACTGAAAATAAAATTATATCTTACCATATCTGCCAGAGAGATGTACAGGAACATKCCCCCAGCTATAGCAAAGATGATGTTGGGAGCAAAGTTGTTGCCTACTAATATTCCAAAGGCCAAGCCAATGTAACAAGAACACGCTGACAGGAAATTGAAAAACAGAGCCTGCCGAGTACTCATCCCTGCATTAAGCAGGATGACAAAATCCCCTAAAAGAACATAAAAAGAGAAAACCAGCTTCAGAAAACGACATTGTGGGTATTTTCTGATTTCAAAGGAAGTCTGACAACRTGATTTGTATGCACACTATAACCCYGTGTCATTTTTCTTTGTTCAAGTACTTGATGAGGATTTCCTTTCAATGCTGAGGAAACTGAAATATCCTAAACAAATATTGATACAAGATTCARCTAAGAGCACAGAAACACACAACTACCTAGGATGATTTCTGGTTTAAAAATTAATTAATACAACGCTGTAGGCAGCAGATATAAACAGGATAATTAATACTTCTCCAATATACAGTCCCAGCTTCCACCCACCTGCACTTGGAAAGTTCCTGTGCCAGATGTGTATTTGGGTGCTTGGGAACTTTTTGATTAATATTTTYTTTCCATTAATTTGTCTAAACTTTCTTCCAGCCTCTGCCAACTTTATGCCAGCACAACCACCCACGACAGAGATTTCCACAGCAAACAACACGTGCAGTGAAGTTCCTTACCCAGCTCGTGAGGAAACTCTTCACACAGGATGGCTATGGAGGTGCTAAGCCCCTGAAGCAGAGACAAAGTGAAGGAAGCACCAATGGCCAAGCCATCTATGAAATTGTGCACAGCATCACTCAGTGTCACCATCCAAGCAATGGTCCCAATCTTGGACAGCGGACGCCCCTTAAGACACTTGCATAAACCACTTTGGGTGGCTTCCTCCTGGAAAAAARTACAATAAAACAATTACATAAAATATATATGATATATATAGAATGTGTTTGTACTGTGGAGTGTGTCTACAGATACATTCAGATGTAAATGTAGACACACTCCACAGTACAAACACATTATATATATGTTTATTTCCATAAAGTTTATTTCTAATTTCAGGCAATGATAGACAAGTCCARCTATTCAAATTAGCTTCTACAAAGTGAAGGTTTAATAAAAACAGTGGTGGCTGATTTTGACTGCACAATTAAGGGCTCAGAGCATGAAATCAACAGGTTAATGTAAAGATGCAATGCACATGCTCTACAGGGATCTAGAATTGGATGCAATTTATACATGTAGTGCCATGAAATAAWGAAAAACCTGAAGCAAATAAAAGGGACTGCCATTTTAATTGGGAGCATTAACTAACCTCCCCTAAAAGTTTCTGGTGATCCACTTGATAAATTTCTGTATACACATACTGTATTTACAGAAYATTTGCAAGCATCATAGTCTTTTTCCCGTTTAAAAAAAAATGCTTATAAAGCATTAACTAGTGCAAACTTACTGGAATACRTAAGCAGTAATATATGCATCTGTGTGCCTATAGATGTACATATCACAGAATYATGGATTAATGAAGGCTGGAACTGGGGCTCATCTGGTTCAACCTCCCTGCTTAAGCAGGGTCATCCCAGAGCACATGGCACAGGATTGCATGCAGAAAGTTCTTTAATCTAGTGAGGGCTCACAGCTTATGGATATTGGTCACTGCTCACAGATCTGTGCCAGCAGGGAACTCTCTGAGGAAACATCTRCCCCTTCATCCAAGTTATTGATGGACAAGTTCAACAGTACTGAGCTCCCTATTGAACCCTGGGGAACACCAGAGGGACAGGACTCTAAATTACACCCTGTGCCATGAATTATGAACCCACTGGGATCTGCCATTCAGCAGGTTCTCAATCCACCTCCCTGTCCATCCACTCATCCATTCCACACTTGCCCAGTTTGCCTRTGAGGATGAGGGACAGTGTCAAAAGAATTGCTAAAGTCATGGCAGGCAATATCCACTGCTCCCCCCTCACCCACGTACATCTCCACCTCTCGAGGCACAAGGATATAGAGGGACACCTCYTTCTCCTCATGAGAAGGCCAAAGAGTATCCAAAGAAATTTTCTTTAATTATTAAAAACAACACTGCTWATGGTTTTCGTTTTGCCATATGCAAATGGTACCAGGCAACTAAATTTTGAACTTCAACRAAATAAAATTATTAATAAACTCTTACAAAATCTTTAATGATAGAGCCATAAGGTCTATCTAATGATTTGCTCACAGGACTCTTATCTCAATACATTCTTGTATGTAGAAGCTGATTTGGGACAGGACAAAAGTTCAGSTCAGGAATTTCTGAGTCAGGTGCCGATTGCACTGCCTGGAATCCGTAGATAATAAAGCCTCGGCTGAGTAGTGCCGAAACTACCACAAAGCAGCACCTACAGGAAGTGCTAAAATTATACTTTTACGATAAGAAAATGAGCAATGGTATCAAAAAATCAGGAGTTTCCCTGCTGAGTTAAAAACAGAGGTTTTAGACTAGTGCTACAAGCTTGCCTTTAGTTTTTGCAGGTTTTCCTCTCAACATTTCCTCTAACACAAGAAGTGCCAATCATAGTTTTGAGATTATTAAATTCCACCAGTACTACTTCTGTTTGAGATCTGTTTGAGGATCACTCAAGAGTAACAGACCTCTCTCTTAATCCATGAAGACAAGCCAAACATTGCTTTAAGAAAGAAGTATTACAAAGCAAGCCACATAAAATACATAAGAAAAACGAGACACAATTAGTTAAATCTTCCACCAAGTCATGCAGCTCCCTGTTTTTTTCTCTTCTCCAGTGACCATCCTTCAAACTGACTACAAACTGGAGGAGGCATTGTTTTGTAGATCATCCTGATTTCTGCCTAAAGCACATCATCTTTCTTGCATGTGTTTCTAGGTTYACTGAGGAAAGGAAATTTTACATCATGCACACATTTTCATTTTAAATAATTCACCTATTTTTTCCATCTAAAAGAACATTTCAAGTAATTGCAATTAATTTGGAGTAGAAGTATTGATATACTTCTAAAAATTACTGTCCTGATCCAAACTTTTAAAATGCAGAAACAACTGTAGTTAATAAACTAGGAATCAGTTTCTGAGATGGTTCTTTTATATATATATACATATTTATATATTTATATATTTATATAAATATGTAGCTATCTGCTATTACATTTACTGTGTAATTCTGAAGTATMATAATTCTTGCATGTAATCCATTTTAGATAAATGTCTTGATGACTTCTCYAAATTACATAAAGTACCATGAAATAGCTTTTCTGGGTTTACATTCTGAACTTTACTAGATCATGTTTCCASTAGAAGTAGGTGAACAAATAATACACATTCTTCATGTTTAAGATAAGGCAAACTACTGACAAAGATACCCTACAAACACACAGGATTTCAAAGCAAAAAATTAACAATGCCTGTGTCTGCTGGACTATCTCCACTTTGCCATGGTAGTTGAGCAGACATCAACAGAGAGATGCCAGCTCAGGAGTTCTGTAATACGCAATTGGACTACAATGTGTAGGTTTTTTTTTTATTATTAATGCAGTTCTGCACCATTTGTATCTCCACACTTCATGGTAAATCAAAAGGCATCTGTAGTATTTTTGCTCTTCTAATCACAGGGGGCTTTTTTTTTAAAGTAATGACCTCTCTTTTTTTCCTAAACTTCAGAAACTGTGCAGAAACTCTCTTATTTKATCCTACCACCTCTCAGATTACTATTGCTATTTCCAACGCATCTCTGATTCCCTCAGACATGAACCAGACGTGTCCTCTGGAAGCTCCCACAGGACTGAGAAGGAGCCCTGACACTGCCTCCAGGGGATAAATAAAAGCCACTGCAAAGTTTTGTTACACAACTCTAGCAGTGCACACTCAAARCCACAGAGGTTTCAGCAGTTTGTCTCTGAAACAACTTTGCTTCAMAGTTTCTGTTGTCAAGCTGTATTTCAATGCATAGTATTTACAAACTTGGGGCACAGCTCAAAGGTTTCCATTGTTGCAATTATGGCTGCAAGTGCAAAACAGAAAGTAGGAGGCTAATTAAACATTTACACTGCCAGTCAATCTGTCCTGGCATTAGAGGAGAGAATACACCTGGATCCCCATGGCTGGAAACAGGTACCACACCTTGGCACAATCAAACTCGCTCCTTAAAGCCTTCATTTTGATTTCTCACTATGCTGACTGCCCTCTTCAACAACCTGTAGGTTATGAGGACACATTAAAATTGTCTTAGGTACACACTGGCTTATGCCAAATGGTKTTGTCTTAAATATTACATTTCTGTRAAGTTGAATRAGTACCTAYGTTCATGTCATTAYCCCAAAACYGCCCCAAAACACCTCGGCCACATTGGCCCTCCCCTGACCCAGCCCCTTTGTACCTCACTGAAAGAGGACAAGAGTAATGACAGCTTTTTGGTTGGTACCTACAATATCACAGAATCATTAATTTGGACCTCAAAGATCAGTCCAGCCATTAACARAACACCACCAAGCCCACCACTAATCCAATATTCCTAAGCAACACCTCGATGCACCTCCTGAACACCTCCAGAGGTGGTGATTCCACCACTTCCCTGGGTAATCTAATATATGGTATGATTTTGCTATGTTTACACGATGCATAAGCAGATGGCCAGCCAAAAGGTAATACWGGAACAAGTCCAGGTAAAACTTCTGGTTCAGAGGACACAAAAACAACATCTATACCTCTGGAGCTGACTGTCTCTGCAGAGAGCAGAGGGTTCTTTTATTTGTTTCATAAATCTACAAAACACAACTTACAGACACTCATAATCCTAATTCCCTCCTGGTTCCCATGCAACTTCAATAATAATGTTTCTTCTMGTTTTTAAGATGTTCAGTATCCACCACACTTCATGACATTTCTGTAGCAAGGACAAGTACAATTTCAATGCTTTAAACTGAGTGCATCAAACACCCTGTGAGCCTGCAGGGTCAGTGCAGAACTCCAAGATTTTCTCCTGGCTGTTAGGGACTGACTCTGGCTTGCTCTCCTGCTTGCTCCTCTCTGCTCCCCACAASCAACCTGCTGGCTAATAAACATGGACTGCAAAGCAAAAACCTCTACTATGAAAACATTCTGCCTTAAGACATCTGAGATTTTTTAATATGTGTTTTCAATTATTTTTAAATAAAGGACAGTACTACTCCTCCCTGCACCTTACTGCTCCTCTCCRCACATRGAAAAAKAYTAAAGAGGCACAAAACTTTCTCTTCCTGCTTCKATTTTCTTCTCAGACAGAAGGAAGTTGTATTTGCAGTATGAAAACMAAGATAAGAAATACAGAGAACAAATCTGAAAGATAATAACACTGAAACCAAGTGTCTCAGCACATGACCTCCACGATTCCCGCAGTATCCAAATATAGCATGTTATCACAAGCAGTGCTCAGAACATGCTGCATGGAAGTTCYTGTATGAGTTTTTAATCATTGATTCAGAGGAATCAGCCTCTCACACTTAATGGCTTTATGTATTCAGGAGCAAAATATGGCTCATGCAACAGTAAAACACACAATGATTCTTCCAGCAAAACAGTAACAACAACAAAATCAAAATTAATCCAATTGTCTGATTAAATACATCTCTCTGTCATGCCCATTTCAACACTGATACAACACAGCCCTTTTTGTTGGATGCAAATTGMATGCATCATTCAGCTTTTCCAAGCTTGCCTCAACACCCTGTATTTTTTTTATAGGGTTCAACCAAATTACAAGCTGTAAGTCTACAAAAACTTGACAAAAGTAATAAAAMCTCATTTTAACTCTCCCCTCAGATATGCCTATACAATTGGTAGGGATAAAATAAAAAACAGACACAATTTTCATACCTGTGCTGAGACAACACTGATGCTGTCAAAACCAAGATTTCCATTGCTCTCTATGACAGCTGCATTTGCATAACACGTKCCCCCATTGCTGGATGATGGTGCTTTGGATGGGTTAGTCTTATCCTGAGAATGATTCTCTTCTCCATTTTCAAAGTAACTGTGGCCAGTCTAGGTGAAAAATAAGTAAGTAGGTAGCTAATTCAAACAAAAGCAAAATAGCAAAACAGAAAATAAAGACAAAAAGGAAAAGGCAGGGGGAGATCATATGCACTCTGCTGTGCTTTCAACACCAAGTGATTGCTGAAATGHGCAGCAGTGAACATTTAAATTTTTTTATGAACTCCAAACATATCTATGTTCCTAACTTACTTTAGCTAATCAGAAAACATGRGAGACTTCTCATTTTTATACCTTTATGTAGAACCTCCCAAGCCAACATGACCAAAAGTAAATCAACATTTGCCAGTTATCCACAGTTGCTTGTCAAATAGAGCTTATTAGCCTTAGTCAACGGTTGACATAAATAACGAAAAACAAACTTTTTTTTCTGGTTTTAGCTATTACAAACGAGGGATGGTTGATCACCMTAATTTTCAGTATCAGCAACACTTTGGGAGGGGGAAATTTAAGAGAGGTTACACTAGGAAGGCAGGGAAGTTTTCTTTTATAAGTAATAAGCAGGGATGACCAAAAATTTTGAGGCTCCCTCCTGAGACAAATTCAGCYCCACTCATGTGAGCACACAGAAAAGAAGCAGACCATACTCCCAGGGCTGCTTGTAACTCCCTCAAAAAAGTGAGATTTCTTCCTTTATTTAAATAGATTTAAAACAGATGTACCAGAACACACAGCAAGGCTGAATTTCTCAAGTAAAATAGAAAAACTCCATATATTTTATTCAACTATCTCACAAAATATGACAGGTATTTTAAGTCAAGGCTCATTCAGTTAGTGACAAGTTTCATTACCTGGTTATAGAGCTTTAGTATCACCTTAAGAATCCTTTCCACAAAGAARAGAATATAAAATCCACCAAACACAGCAACTGCTTTCTCAACGTAGTTATCTACTTTCGGGTCAAACCCAAATGCCTAACAGTGAAGAAAAAAGCAAAGCAAATTTGTCTGTAATTTTAGTACATTTTCAGAGAAACAAATGTCATACCACACAGACACCCCTTATAAAAATTGTCTCTGTATCAACCATCAGTTTCCATGAGCTGAAATTGTGAAAGAGATTCATCTTTTCTCATTTTTTAAACTTGGATAAAATGTTAACAGTGTGGCCTATTAAAGTTCACTACAGCCTTATCCAGTTTATTTCTGCCTTGAGGCAGTATAGCCCTTGGTCTTTCCCAATGAAYAAAACAGATCTTGATGGCTCTGACACTTTCCAGAGAGGGATCATAGCTAATGACACTGAASCCCACACAAAACTCTTTGAAGATTGCAATCCACACACAGAACCCCTCTGCAGCACRCTTTTAAAATTAATACACTTTAGAAATCAATATGCCAACCAAATAATGATTCCCCTTGCTTACCTCTGGAATGAGCTGGAAAATTGCATTAGAAAAGAGAGTACCAATGGCCAAACCCACAAAGTAAGTTAAAACCTTGGGGAAATATGACTTCTTTAGGAGAGGAGTTAAAATCAATCCCAGAAGCGATGCAAAGTTAATGATAGTCACAGCCAGGAACCCAAATCCCCAAACTGTGGATAAACAAAGAGAAATACAAAATATTTTAGTATTAACACCCACTACAGTCTGTTCATGATTTCTCTAATCACTAAATTGGCATGGAACCGGAAAAAGAGTGGTTTCTTGCCTGAAATTAAAATTCACAAATATAAAATTCTTAAAACACATAGGCAGTTAAGATGTGTATCTGCAGAAAGGAAGAATCTGAAAACACTTTTTGGGACAACCACATTAAAAGTGGAAAATGTGCTGGTAGATAATATAAATCTAATAATAAATTATTATTAAATATTAATCTAATAATAAATTTATATTAGCTGCTGCTAATATAAATCAGGTCTCTCTACAATCAATGAAGAAGTAAGTCTTAGGCCAACACTTGAAATAGCTACAGCATAGAGAAAAGACAAAACTTCTTACTAGTCCTAGAGTCAGACCCAATGGCCATTTACTTCTAAGGAAATCCAAGACAAAAAGACTCTTATCTTGGCTGTACTAGATATAAAAATTCTTCCTGATAAAGGATGATGCCTTCAAATCACYCTGAGGTAGTATCTCAGTTCCTTGCACTTCTCTTATTCAAAGAAGTTCTGCTGGCTGAAAATGCTGCCCATTACTGCTTATCAACAGGTGAGGCAATAGGCAGCTCAGATGAGACAATTAAAATAGAGAAATTAAAATGCATAAAATAAGGTCTTCTAGGGTCAAAAAAAATGACCTGTGATTTAATTACACAATGGGGAAAACCCTTCCAGTAAATGCAYCAGGGCTCAGCATAATTTTGTTTCCTTCACCACCAGCCTAGTCTCAGATTTCCAGTCTTCAGACATCAGCACTTGAACAAATCCATACCATAATTATTCTGGAGCCTGAATTATAGGTTGGAGAGGTGTGGTGTGGTTGTTATTGTTGCTCATAAGCATTYACAGAGTTGAGTCTCTATGGACAACTTTTCTCCCCAGTGACATCTCAAATCCCTTGAGCACAGAGAAAAACTTTAAAAGTTGYGCTGAAGAGATCTACAAGGGTGCCTCAAGTGATGCTACAGAACCACGAAATAATCCACACAGACAGAGGGTTTGTCTTTAAAAATTAACCACAAACAATAATCAAAGTCAACACAATGTTGCCTAGATAAGAATAGTTTTTTATAATTCAGAAAGTTGCATCATTATAAGCTTGTATGCATGTAAGGAAGTTGCCAAAAATTCTTSTGTGCACAATAGAAACTAACAGATCAGATTATGATCTGTTTTCTGGAACATCTGGCAAACACACTAAACCAGATTCCTCACCTGCTGCTGGGATGCCTCTGTACAGTGTCACAATGTTTTTATAAAATGGATTTTGTATTATGTCAAGAACAGAAACATTSAAAGCATTTGCAGATGTATCAGTGCCAATTAGAACATTCATTTGCCAGTTTTGAGAGAGCTACACAGAGAGAGGGAAAAACACACAAACAGATATGGGTGGATTTACTAAGCTACWTAAAATATTAATTTTTATAAAAATAAATCACAATTAAGCTTGAAAATATCTTTTTGAAATCAAATTAATAATAAATGGGTTTCCAATGTCACTGTGAGTCAGAAAACACTGGCTACTTTTGGCCAAGTTCAGGATTACTCCAGAAGCATGAGAGTATTTTAGTTTAGTGCATGGACCTTTACACATATTCTGTGCAAAAAGGTACATTTTAAACTGAGCTGATGAAATTCCAAGACAATCAACKTTGCCAAAGGTCCTACATTAAGGATTGTATTTTACAGTATCATGTATGCACGGGTGCCTTAATAAAGGTTTTATTCATTAGGATTCCATCCACACTAGGCTGTTCCTGAGTCTATGCATGAGTTAGTGCACCAGAGCAGGGTACTCGGTTTAGGACGCAGTGCTAATTCTTCCTCTAGGACTGATGGCTCAGTCAGCTTTTGCCAACTACAATTATTCTTTCTGTCTCTAAACTGTAGCCCAAATAAAGAGACAGCCAAGATACCCAAAGGCACAAGAAATCCAAAAAATAAAACTTCAAGAGTGCAAGTAAAATGCCCTCCTTAAGGACCACTACTCAGCACAAGAACAGGCATGCTCAGGCTCTTCCCTAACCTCATCCTAGGAMAGAGTGGAAGTAAGGGCATGGAGACCTTGCCCAAGTGTTTATCTTGGGCAGGAGGAATGCCACTGGGCAGAGCCAGCTGTTTGATGGATCTCTGTACACTTCCCTATTATTTTCAGAGAAGCAAGCAATGCAAGGACTTGAGTGTGCCCCAAGGTCAGACAGGTTAGACAGGAGTTTTACGAATCCCAAGAAAAAAGATGCAATATATGTTGCCTTCCAACTCCTACTCTGCTTTGGCATCACTTATTGTTTATTCCAAGTAGCTGTTCCTAAAGCTCCTGGCACTGGTTTCCTCTGCACATGTTGTCTTAGTATTTTGGAAGACAGGGTATTGTTAAGAGAGCAGAGGTCCCTGGGGAGAAAATTCACATAACCACAGCTGGAAAAAAGCATGGAGGATCCTGCTCCATGGGCAATAAYTGAAATCATCTGGTCTCCATGCTACTGCAATACAGATTCATTTTGTGATGGGCTGGGGGTGCATAAATAATCACCAGCTGCACTGGGCACTGGGCCCTTCTAGGAATCTCTGTTCCAAACAGGTACCACTGTGTGTCGCAGTGGTTTAAAATGCCCGAACCGTGGGCCTTGCAGATTTCTTGTGCTGCAACCAAGGGAGGGGCAGGGAGAAGGCTGCCTGGCTTATCTGGCTACTGGACATTGCTTCTGAGTAGGCCAGATAAAAGGAAAAAAAGAGGGATGGTCTAAATAGCTTAGGAGGTTAAGTGTAGGTCAAAGGATTCCATGTACAACCTACTTAAACAGCTCCCCCCTCCAAAAAAGAAAAAAAGAACAACAGATACTACTCTCTGGTGCAGATAGTAAKATTATCACCTTCTTGGTCATATGTGTCTCCATAAGATATAAACAATCTAGAACAGTCATGCTAAATTGGTGCCACAGTTTCAGTGGTTACTTAAWTAGAATGCTAATCTTTCACTGACACAGCAAAGTGCTACATTTTAGGAATTATCTCTAGTTCTTGTTAAAGATGATCAGCTATATTAATCTGAATGTTATTAATACTAATATTTCAAAAGTTATGAAAAGCACTTTTGTATCTCTTCTCATGAATACCAACATTAAACACTACCAATCCCAATATCCCAACTTTTAACATTAATTCAGCTGACTCCCTTGGAACAATAAATTTACATGGAAGAATGAGTCAAATAAATAGGTCATTGTATACTTGATCCTTTTTAGTGCAGCAAGTGATTTCTTTAATCAGATAAATCTTCCCTGTCCTATGCTTTTTACTGCACCATACAGTTCTGTGTAAAATAAATACAGAAATAATAATGAGAAAAATAGGAAGAAGGAAGTTCAAGGCTACTTAGCCACATAATGATCTTCCTCATGGAGGGGTCATCACAGGACATGACAGGAAAGAAGGAGTCAGAATTTGGAAAGAATATRAGTATTTTTCCTCAGTAAACTAGTCACTGGCTCACTTGATGGCCCACCTGCAAATACCTCCACTCAAACGCAGCCCAGGTAGTTTTACCTTGACCTGCAAATACCACTGAGCCTTATTCCCCACTACAAATCGTCTGCACAAACTTCCCTTCTGTTCTCCCATCTTCTCTCCTTTTAACCAGCTGTTAGTCAGAGTACCTATGTTTCAAGACACAAACCACTATCCAAGAAAAACAAGACAGAAAGACTCTTCCTTGAGTGGGCAAATTATTCCAAACTTGGTAGTCAGTTCTTTCACCTTCCTTAAAGCATTTTAAACAGMTTACTGTCAAGAGATACCAATTTTGTTTGGACAGTCTGCTGACCTAAAACAGCAGTTTATGTTCACACTTTGGAACCATATCCTCCTAAACAAGACACCCCTGTTATTTATGAATAAATGCTCACTGTTCCTCTAAGAAAACCCCACTCTGTTCACAGCATTAATGCAAGTAATAGTAACCAACCTTGTAAAGAATTTGGTTTAGATGCGTCCACAAAGCTTTCCTGATGGTCACATGGGTGAAAAATCAGCTGCTGCAAAACGGCGGGACATATTGTAGAGAAGCTGGAATTTGTTACGTGACTGTTGTTCGGTATCCCATGCAAAAAAAAGATTTCTTCACTACTCAGGCACTGAAACGAAACAGGATTTTAACAACTTAATACATTAATGCAAGCCCAGAAAGTAACACATACAGTGAGAGAAATMAAAAAATTACATGCAAGTACTGTAATGCATTTTCAAGGAAGCCTACCCAGTGCTTGTTGTGCATGAAAACACTGTGATTACTTGATGTGAAACAGAAGTGATTCAAAATACTTTAAGATAAATCACGAATCAATAAACCACTTTTTAAAGACACGCTTGCAGATCTTTTGCCCTATGAACTCAGACAGTATATATAAACCTCACAATATATTTGGAAAATATAGCTTCAAAGTACTTAAAATCTCATGTAATTACAAAATAACTACATTTACAAAATAATTATATTTAAGAACTAGATACAGTTGAAATCTCAGTGTGACAGAGTATGCCAGAAAATTATCAGTAATTCAGAGACATTCATGTAAGTGACCACTTCTATTGTTACAACAATGCTTCTGGTTTTTCTGCCCAAATGAACTCCTTAAATGGTCTAAAGCTAAACATTTTCATTCTTTTCATAGCAGTAGGTGTTAAGGGCAAACATTGTCTTGTAAAAGCAGGAGAYAAACTCCTACGTGGGACCTTCACTTTGCCTTTAGCTCAGGACATAACAGTGTCTGATGGRTCAACAATAAATGTACTCGGCAGTGCTAAACCAGGCCAGGGGCAAGGCAAGGCTGACTCCTCTGTCTGTCATTTTCAACCAAAAAGATAAAACACAAACCACAAAATATCATAAAATATACATCTACAGAAAAAATTGAGTGGTTTTATGTGAAATGTTCCACACTGCTGAAATCTTTCACCTGACACTTTCTGTTCATTCACATTCTTTATTTCCTACAGGGATACGAGAAAGTGTTCCTTTTCTGGGTGTAAACAAAAGTTTTGTGCAGTTATTGCTGCACAAGAAATACATACCAGGGCTGAGTCTCAAGACAAAAAAAAATGTTTTCTTCTATTTGTGGCATCACTTACAGCCTAACTCTCCCTGTAGCAAATCTCAGTGTGGCTGCAAGCACAGAGCCCTGGAAGCCTTAGCAAAATAAACACAAGTGGTCACTCCCTGCTCTTTTCTGAAGTTTTGCAAGTCTTCAGATTCCACAKCACTTCTCCAAAAATTCAACATTATTATTTATAAGGCCAGAGATAAGATATCCTAGAGATAAGCCAGAGCAATTTCAAATCATTTTCATTAGAGCTGCTTCTGCTTCTGTAAATAAATATTTTTGTACTGTTTAAAAGGTGAAAGACATGCACACATCACCTGAATGTGACTCTTTTTTATTTGCTTGGAGGAAGAGAAAGTGCAGGCCAATTCAAGCAACTTTAGCTAAATTACATCCAGAATGTTTCTGTCCCTTCTTTTTAATGACCCAAGTCTAGCAGAGCACTCAAGCACATGCTTGAACTTAAATGTAAGGACAAATTTYGTTAAGGCCATGAGACCTTGAAGTCTCAAATATACAGAAGCTAATTTCATCTTTCAATGTTAATGCCAAAGAAGTATCAAATATAAAACAAATATAGCTTATAACAGAAGATATTTTTTTGCTTTAAAACTTTAAGACATGTTGCTCCATTTAATCTATAATAAAGTAGTGAATAAAGAAATCATCACTGAAGATACAGTCTTTAACAGGCCAACACACAAACCTCTGGAGCTTTCTAAACTGGTTATGTGCCTAATCATTTCACTGTTAACTCTGCATTTTGGAATAATACAAAACACATGGTTAATATGCCCACAGCAAAGCAAAGGGAGGATATTTGTGGTCTACTGGAATAGCTCCTGTATGGTGATTACCAGCTCACAAAGCCATTTCTGGGTGTCTGTGGTGAAAAATCCTTAGGAAAACAAGCCAGTAAGAGCTGAGAATTTATAACATAACTACCTCTAAGAGAAATCACCTTTAACTATCTCATTCCTAAAATACAGAATAGATTGTTAGCATTTTAAAATACCAATAGATTAGCATTAACATTAATTCCCYCCCAAAAAAAATGTTTTACGTAGTGAAACAGTATGGAGAGAAAATAAATCAGACAAAGCAGAAATTAATAAACTTGACACTTGTAGCTTTTCTTACACACAAACACATAAGTGAGAAACACCATTGGCAAAGAGCTCTTTCATGTGAAACTGAGAAACAGCATTGCATTTAATTACTATTATTATTTTGATCAGGGACAAACCCAGAGGATAATGATTCTTATAAATGATTCATTGTTATAAGTCACCTCATACTCTCAGTAAACTCCTACATACATCCAAGAGCTAAAAAGCAAGCTTGCCTGAGTTCACYAGCACAATTAAAGGATTAAGCTATTAGGAGCCTTGGACTGGAGCAACACATGCTTGCACACTGCAAACTCTGCATTTATCTTTTCAGGATAAATAAATACATTAACACAGTCACACTGCTGTAAAAACATAAGGTATTTACTTTGAAAGATTGATGGATCATCTCAGAAAGAAAATTCAGCCTCATGGACCAGGAGACTGAAAATGATGTCCTGACTCCCCAAGTCTGCTATCCTGTCCATTCCCTGCTGTTCAGCAAGACTTKGCACAGTGATTAGGTGAGGGGATTGGCTGTAATGTGGCTGCCACCCAGTGTTTAGTAAACAATTGCAAAAAAATATATAATATACCTGATCATCCCTGAACTGTTAAAAAACAGATTTTATAACGCATCAAAATTTGGGAGGACTTAAACTGTAGAATTTACACAGCTGCAAAAAATACTGAGACTTATTAAAAATTAAACAATCAACTAGGTTATTTGAACAGATGTTTACTTTTACCCTGGTAATAAAGCTCTCACAAAAATGAKTGGCTAATTTGGGATTCCTCTAACTGGAAAAATTAACAAAAAATGCTACAGTAACAACCACCTTTTAAATGCATCAGTCTGTCTTSTGATCTTCTGCTGTGTTCTTATCACCGCTCCACCTGCTTTATCTGCAACATTCCACATGTGAAGCACTAAAATGCTCAACAGCATCCTGCACTGCAGYTTCTAGATGCTGCCAGATTAAATATCAGCCCAAGCCACCCCAGGGCTGAGTTATGGGCCCCAMAGCAGCAACACCAAAGAATAAATGCAGTGAATGCCCATCGAACAAGCTTTTTTAAAAAAAAATTATTTTATTCTTTATTTATTATAAGTGTGGATAAGGCAAAATAGAGACACACAACTATGCCTTCCCCAACTCACTTGTAAGAAATGCAAGCATCTAATGCTGATGTGGTGATACCTTTCTGTCACTTAGCACAGGTAAGAGCTAGATGACACAGGCAATCATTCCTTCAATAAGCAGCACTTCRTGGAAAAGAGCCAAAGCAGATGAAGCTGCTGAAAGGCATTTGTGTGTTTTAGTGATTTCACACACCTCCAAGACATGTTCTCCCATGCTGGGAGCTGAAAACTGTCCACAAATACTGAAATTTGCTGCAAATATTGTAGAAATTGGAGAGGGTAGAACAGCTAAGCCTATTTAGCATCTCACTGGCCAGGCAACATCAGATCATGGTGTTGGATCAAGACCCTAAGCCACACTTTGTCACTGTCTCCATTCAAAAGGACAGGTTTTAACTAGTGAAAAACTACCAAAAACCCCTCAAATCAAAGCATATACTATCTGCTTCTAGTCTATCTACGAAATACTAAAGTCACTAGATTTTGACTCATCCTGAGAGGAAAGTTAATTATATCTGATTGTCAATATCAATAAAAATTTTAATTTAATTTTGTCCAAATGTTTTGTTTAAAAAATAAAATGCATTACATTACAACACAGTATACAGGTGTAACACCTAGACTGGCATAAACAAAGATTTTGGAAAGTCAAAGAAGGAAACAGGAGCATGATTTTAGCACCTACCAACTACATCAAAGTACAAAAAAAAAAGGTGATAATAACAAGCTTTTTTCCTGATGTCCATTTACCTTTCATATATTTTTTGGCAAAGAATTTTGAGCACATCATTTAATCCTGGCTACCATACTACAATGAATCCAGTGACAGAAGATCAAGTATGGTTTCATGTTTTTTTGCATCTTGCTAATAATTGAAATACAGAGCAAGTAACTAGCCATCATCTATCAGACTGCAATTGCTACTTTTTCCCCTATTAGTAGGACTAAAATCTGTGGCAACTCCACAGTAAAATGTGAAAAGAACAGCACTGACCAGTATTTGTGCTTGCTCAATTACCACTTATTCCTCTGACAAGAAGTCTTAGCTTACTGTTAAGAAAAGGTGATAACAAAAAAAATCTAAGAGCAAAGAAAATTATAAAAGTTCACGATGAAAGAAAAAAAAAGAAAAAGGTACAAGAAATTGTGACAGTTCAATTCAAAATTCCAAAAGGGTGTTCAAAAAATTTGTTTACATTAAAAAAATTAGCATCTTTACAGACATCATAGGACACAAGTTACCACAAACTTCTACACAAGTATGCACTCAAACACTATCATCAACAAATCAAATCATTTTTCACTCTCCCTTTCCTTTTCAAGTCAACCTGGTATCAAAGGAAAACAGAAATCAATCCATCCTCTTCTGGCTTACACACCCAGACTCTCAATCTTTAAGAAAATATATGAGCTTCTCGTGGATCTTCTCATGAGATTAACAGGCTTACCAAAATTTTTGTGAATGTGACATTAAAATAATCACTAATACTGGGGCAAAATTACAGAGACTGTTCCTTCCTGCCACGTGCTGTGTCACCTGTCCCTTACAGATCAGCTCTCCACTGAAAATTCCTTCAGGCTTTGGATGAGGGGCTCTCTGAGGAGCAGAGGTATGTTATCTTGATTCTAAGAAAGGCCTGCAAGTCATCCCACTAGCTCTGGACATGGAAGTTAAGAACTGAAAGCCTGAGATAAACCTTGTGCCCTCCTACAGTCAGATATTTGTGCAGCCTGAATGCAYCCAGCCTCCTTGAGGAAGATGTGAATCACTCTCCAGAGGTACTCACYTTCCTCTGCTGAGGATCAGCAGCCTCTGATGCCTTCCAACACMCAAATTTGTTTTAGGTCACTTCATGTCTTCTGCCATAACCAGCAGACACTCTGAGTTACTGACTTGTAAGCACAAAACTCACAGCGTTTAAAAACAACCATGTAGGATTTACTTGGTTTGAGTGCACATTTGCATGCACCACCTCCCCAAAATCACAGACATCTAGGAGGGATCAAAATGCACTTGCTGTAATGGTTCAAGCTGATGGAGCAGCCAAAAGGCCAATTTTAAGAATGAATACAAGCAACTCAGCAGAAAAGTATACACATTTCAGTATGATACCCTAGATACTATTCAACATGAACACAATTAAAACAGGCCTGTAAAAAAAATGTTTCAGTTAAACTGAGAAACATGCTTTTGTAACAAGAAAGAGCATTACTTTATTTCCATCCCGTAGCCTGTGCCAAAGCCTGCGGACAGAGATACGTGCTTTCACAGATGGAAAACCTGAAGGACTGAAGAATCTACTCATTTCTATGCCCCTTTAAAGAAAGCTGCTTTTCATAGCCATGCTCAATACTGAAAACTTGTATTTAGCATGTGTGGCTGGGAATGTTTATGTTTGTCACACGCTGRGTTGTAACAGTGGTCAATCTGTGAGATTTGAAAGCGGCGACTCCTGCGGGTATTGCTGCGCTTATACTGAATACTACATTGATTGCAGTGSAGTCCCAATTAAACCTTCCTAAAACAAAGACAGCTTATTCAAGGTTTGTCTCCTTCACAGAACAAGCAGAAGAGCTACTACTCCATGTTTAAAAATAATTCYCAAGGTCTCTAGAGCCATCCCTCTTCTGTTTCTTGGGGAGTATAATCAAACCAGAGAAAGAAGTCATTCCTGCTTTCCTTTCATTTTAGTGAGTAACTTTGTGTCTCTGATTAGTGGGCACGTGGAAATCGCCATAAATCTCAAAATTTCCCTTCAAGGAAACAAATTCAGCCCAGAATCATACAGGTAAGTGAAATGATACAGACTTTAAAAGTAGCAATGAGATCTGAGTTTCATATGGAGATATTAAACAGAGTAAAAATGTTTTAAAGAGATGTAATACTCCAATTATACCCAGTCAGTTTAGAAAGCTTTTGGTAGATTAATCGATGGGTGTACATTTTGCACTCAACTTTGATAAAAGACGTGAAAATTTCTGAAAAAGTTTCTTTGCACAAGCAGACGTGTTTTTATAATCKCGTTTGTGCTGTCTCATGCCAACTCTATTTTAACAAGTCCTGAAGATTTGCTTATTCAGCTCTCCAGGGAAGCACTAGCTGGTTCTCACACACCTCTTGCTATCGGCCAGGTGCTGTTTAACCAGGAAAGATGACAGTTTGAGAGCCGAGCAATGAGGAGGGAGAGCGGATCCCGGGGCAGCCCGCGCCGCAGCAGCTCCTGAGGGACGGACGGCAGCTTCTGCCGCACGCTGACCGSTACCTCCGCCCGAAACCCGAACCAGAGCCCGGCAGACATTCGCTCCCACCCTCATTCCCGGCTTCACCGTGAGGAAACACGAGGRCGGCGAGACTTAGGACACTCCGGAGCTGCCGGTGCCCTCGCCCCCGGCCGTTTCCAGCCCCCGCGGTGCCCGTACCTGGTTGTGGTGCAGGTGTGCGAGCGGCAGCTCCGAGCCCAGGGCCGCCGAGGCGCCCAGCCGCTGCAGCAGCGCCGACAGCTGCCCGGCAGACAGGCTGTGGTTGGCCCCGAAGACGCGCAGCACATCGTCGGCGAAGCTGCTCGCGTTCGCCTCGCCTGAAAACCGCCCATCCATCCCGGCGGGACGCGGCGACTGCGGCGCCCTGCCCACGGGCTCGGCGGGGCGGTGAGCGGGGCCCGCCCGCTCGGCCCCTCCCCGGGGGGCGTAGTGGGGACACGGGGCGGGCGGAGGCRCCGCGGAGCCCCCGCCGCTCCCCASGGGCCGGGAGCCGCTCCCTTGMGGGGGAGCCCCCGGCGGGGCGCGGTGCGGCAGAGRGGGACGCTGCACAGCTCCCGGGTGCCACCAGCCTTTGGCCGCGGCACCATCGGGGTCATCGGCCCCTCTGCCGTTCCCACACACGGACCCGGCTTGCCCGCCTGCCCCGAGCTACCGTGCAGAGCCCTGGCCCGCAGCCAGCTGCCCTGACCCAGGGGGTGCCAGGAGGGATAATGGAGGCCAAGGTCCAGCCAGGCTCGCAGGTGTGACCCCGCCGTACACACCTCGCCAGCGCTATCTGCACAGCCGAGGCTGCTGGACCTTGGAATGAGTCCTTCGGTTGGCAGCCACTTAGGCAACTTGCTTCTCTCAGGCCCCCTCCCTCCCCGAGGCCGGGACATGGATTTTTGTCTAGTCTACCTTTTTAGGAAGGATTAATGCACAAAAAAAGCATGTGATTTCATGTACGGCTTTTAGCAAACAGAGAAAATTGTGACTGGTCACAGTTCCTGGGAKCTATTGCTCAAGTGGTTTAGATAAAAATGCTTATGCTACCCCARCTCAGCAAGGATCTGTACTACTAAGCTATTCTGTAACTGCCTTCTACAAAATTTCTTACATATTCAYGTAATGGGCAGAGACAGCATGTTTTGAAAGTGTTTGGTTTGTTGTTTTTGGTTTTTAACAGATTCTCATTTAGATCACCATGGAACTGTGCTGAATTACATGAGCTGAGGCATGGTTCCAGATTCCAAATTCTCTGAAACCAGAATTTTGAACTGTCTGTGCAAATAGTCCAGGTAACAGCACTATGAAGGAGGCATGGTTAAAAAGATAACTTCACAAGCAGCAGAACTGATTTAGATAAATTCTTCATTAAAAAACTTCCATGCCACAATACACAAAAATATCTAGCAGGAAAAAGAAAATGCCCTAAGCGTAACCTAATACTGGGCAGGAAAGAATAAAGTCTAGAGAGCTACAATTACATTAATTCAAATACTGACTAATTCTAAAACCTGACACTCTTTCTGAATTAAAGCCCGAATAACAGATACACTTTCACATTTCCATTTTGCTTGGTTGGTGGCAATTAAAACAGCCCGGGCACAACTCAGCTACACATTGCTCCAAATGCCCCCATCTGTACTGGTTATACCACCAGTCGCGGCTGAAGATGCTCCACCCTGCCCGCTTCCCTACTTGCATGTGCTTTTTGGMTCTCTTCCAGAGAAATCAACACAAGATTCTCTTGCTGCTAAGGRCATTGCAACATTCTTTACGCAGCAGCTCTGTCAGCAGCAAAACTGGCACCTCCTATACTTTCTTCTTCATTGTGCCTATTTCTAAACGCAACTCTAGTACAGTTGATCATTGCATTCATTCTGACATTTTAAAACGTCTAGATTTGAAAAGTGCCTTATGTGGAGCAGATAAACTGGAAGTAACTGCAACCTGGCTATAACAGGTAAATCAAAACAAGTTGCTGGTTGCATCAAGAAGTTTTGTCAGTGCTCTGWTGTGCGAGGCCAAAGAGTTTGTATCAAAATTGATTATTTTAAGACTTCTTTTTTATAGCACAAATATAAAAGATTATTCAAATTAGTATAATTAAACTCATACTTTCATTTGTTCTTAGGTCCATATTTGTATAATGCTGAAAAATTCAAGGTATTCCTGCATAATTGCATTAAGATTTATTCTCTGCTGGCAATATCTCAGGCAGAATGAAAATCTTGCTTTATTTCTGAAGCACAGCCACAATTTTTCCTCAAGRAGTGATGCATTCACACTGCTCTAGGTCAAAACAAATATAAAGTTTCTAAACTGTCTGTCACTGAGAAAGCCTGTTAGAAACTAGAAGGGCACGCTGACAGTAAGACAAGAGGTCATGTACCTTTCCTGTGTGCGTAGCACTTGAAGAGTAACTCCAGMTTTTGTGTATATTTGTGATGTACAGACCTAATCAGAAAGCCCAATCTTTGTTATGTCAAGTCTGATAAATCTTAGGCAAACACTAACRGAGCCAAATTCTCTTTCTAAAATTGAAAGAACAATCTGTTTGTACACAGCAAACCAGGTATTGCCCAAGAGTACTCCACGGTCCTGATYCACTATTGTTTCATTCCTGCTTTTCTTACACCTGTGAGATGCTGCTGTTACATTTGAGCTACCACAATGCGCCAGGGCACCAGATGATTATTGGCAGTGGGCAAGACGACACATTAATCAGCTTCTCCAATCTTACACCGGGCCAAATTCTCTCTGAGGTGGGTTTCTGGTAAGAAATTCACTGAAGCTGTAGCTAATTGCAYAGAAGCTAGCTCAATTTGTAATCATACTTGTTATTTACTTACCACAAAGTCAGAAGAACCCTCTCTGTTTGTTGTCATTTAAACYACTGAAAAAAATCTATTTGAAAATAGAAATTGTATTGYAATTCTGTCACTTGGCAGGTAAAAYAGACACACTCATCCCTTATACTAACATTTGCACCTCTTTTCWCTCAACTCTTAGTTGGATTAACTATTTAAATAGGATTAAAAAATTATATCCTGTAACTAAACACCCTTCAATGAAATTGCATATAACAATGGATATTCTGGGGGAAGTACCTGGGTAGATAAGACTGAAACACTTTTTCACGTATTTTCTTTCTAAGTAATTCTCTTCAGTGGGGTGAGGGAATTCCCAACAGTTCCATTTGTTCATTTTTAACTTGGCCAGGAAGACTCAAACTCTCACAGCCTATACTTTAACTTCCAGAGACTCACAGTCATGAATTGCAGATGGACATTATGCTAAGATAGATATTCCAATATTGCCAGCTCAGGAATCTTGCAGTTCTCATCTGTTAGATGCTCTGGTAAATACTGAAAGGGAATTCTGACATTAGAGCTCTAGAAACACAGTCAAGGTGTACTGTGATCACTCAAAGCCACAGAAGTCAAATAAAAAACAGTCTTTGATTTTAAATTCTTAACATAGGAAAGCCTGAATCTCATTGAGCTGCAGATCTTGACTCATCTGTGAAAGCTTGGGTACACAGAATGTCCCTGGGAAGATGTCCTTACAGATCACAGTAGAAAAGTTTCTGAAGCTAAAGAATCAGAAGGAATTTTTACTTTGAGGCACAGAGTACCTCATACTTGTACTGCACAACTTTGAATGGAAAAAAAATGGGATCTCAAATTTCACAAAATACTTTGTCTCTGTACCTTAAACCGTTTAATAGTGAATTACAAGGGCCTGGGCACGACATGGACCTCGAAGTACGAGAGCTACGATGGCATTTCTCTGGTAAATCAGTCACCACCTGCTTCTTTTCTCAGGCTGCACCATCAGTACCATTTGTTTATTACCCTGAGAACGCTGGCTCCTACAAGAGGTTAACATTATGCAAGATTTCAACCAGCAAGAGGTATTACCCGTTCTACAACCTACACCAGCCAGTTCATTAGCCCTTTCTCTGAAAATGTAAAATACACTGTTTGTGGTAAGAAAGGTGATACATTTCATTCCTTAGGACTAATTACTGCTTTAGCAAATATCTTTGAAAAGAAAACCTCTGTAATAAAATAAGTATCTTAAATTCTTCATTGTTTATATGTTCAGTTATATATATATATAGTATATGTATTATATATGAGATTATATAACATTATAATATGTATAATAATGTATATTACATATATAATAATATATCTATTATATATATTTAAGGATCTTCAACTACAAGGATAAAAATTGTCTTTAATGGAGATATGGAGATGAAATTATCTTCATTTCATAGCTGCTCATTAGAAAACTAAGCTTAGTAAAATTCCACTTACACTTTAGAAATATTATATCTGTATTCCCCTTTTTAGCACAGGGTGAAGATTATTTAGACCCCGTTGCTACTGCCAAAGCTTAAAGTTGGTTGTAATCTGAAGTTTTAGCCTAAGGCCATCTCTAATTTTCAGTTGATAAACAGGCATCTAACTCACAAAGCCAGCAGTTGTTGGGTTMCAGCTTTGGATGCTATGAAATGAGATAGCGCCTGCAGAGCTGAGCCAGCCTAAAGCAGTTTTGGTCATGACTCAAACTACCCCAGATAGGTGTGCAGAGAGATAGGAAGTAATAAACTGTCTTCAAAACACAGCAAYGTTCACCATGAAGATGAATACTGCTCATTTTGCCTTGCATTGCTCAGATAATCTTTACCAAGAGTCTTATTCTGGAAAAAAAAATACAGGTCTGCAATTTTTGGGAGGAAAAAAGCAAAAAGATGCTACATATTTTTATCAGTTAAACTTCATYTTGTAAGAAAAGGGAAGTTCAACAGTTTGGAGTTCTTTTTCAAACCTTATTTTAAACTGCACCATTTTAGAAAAGAATTTTTACGTTTACAAATTCAAAGTGAAACATTTCAGCCTCATTTCCCCGAGTYTTGCAAACACGCTTTTAAATTTAAATTTTCCATTTTTCTAAAATTAGCTTTGACAACTTGAAAGTCTCAAAASAATTGATTTGTAGGAGCACGCCTAGTAGTGACCTCTTACCTGCTGATGACCTTTAAATCCACTAGAGRATCCCAGGGGACAGTCGGTGCATGACTGAAAGCTACAAGCTCAGGTTGTATTGACACATCTGCAGGGAATTGAATGCATCTAAAGAACAAGGTTCCYCCAGGAACAAGGAGAAGCAGCGGTTTGTCAGGATCAGTGCGATTAGATAAGCGYGGTGGTGTCAGCGGGATGTTCGAGACACAACACAGCGGTGTTGTGTTTCTGCGGGGATCARGATGACCCCTGTGAGACAGCAATGCCAAGCCAGCTGCAGGACTCCTCCAGGCTTTTCCTTCCTAATCTGGCAGGATGAAAGAGTACGGAGGATTTCTGGGGAGGGACCAGAACAGTCTTTCCAGTTCCCGCTACGGGATTCAGGCAGAAAACAATCGTTCGGGATGCTTTCCTAGATAAGTGGCCTTCAATACATCAGTCCCTCCTTTGTTTCTTGGAATTACA